CTCCCGGTGCGCGTCGAGATGCTGTGACCTTGGACGGTATACAGCAGCTGGCTACTACAGTACCCCACCTTCTGCTTGTCCCGGTACTACTGCACATCATCAAGTTCGCACTCCGAGAGACGACGCAATACGATCTGTCTAGGCTCGATAATAACCAAGGTGCAGCCAAACAGGTCGAGACATACATGTCAACGTCAACTACACGGTATAACCGTAGCAGAACGATCAGAAGGTGGAGTGTCGATGGCGCGACTTGTGCCGATGACAGGCCTCGCGTGAAGCGTTTTGTTTTCTTTATTAGTGTTGTCGTCGGTTCAGGTTGAGGGATGGAAGCTTTCGTCCGAGGCAAGCAGCTGAACCTTTGACGAAAAGGCTTCCTCTCCTTCACCGTACCGTCTAGCTTCTCTCCAAGTCTCGACATTCGTTCGCAGGTAGTCGCGCTTGCTTGTTGTGAACATTGTCGGCCGTCATGATGTTTGCCGAATTGCCAAGCTTGCCGTGTGCTCCTGTTGAGGGATTTTTGCTCAGTATTATTGAGGCAAGAGAGAGGTGGTCTAGTAACAGCGTGGTTTAAAGTAGGGCTCGGGGGTGTATATATCGCCGGCGACAGACGGCTACGCTGCCAGGCACGCCGGTGCTATTTTCTTGCAATATTATTATTCGTTTTTTTCTGATTTTGAACTTTTTTTTCAGATTTTGACGGCCATTATTGCTGTATGCAGTTGTCCTTAACTCCCTTTCTTGCGGTAGCACACATCACAGACGCGTCTCCACGTGATCTGTAACTCCTACGTACATGTGGGTGCATGCGTATTATTATTATGTAGATGGACTCAGCTATTTCTGACGAGGAATAGCCTACATTGATCCCCTTGGATTTCTTCATATATATATACATTTGTGCTGACATGCATTGCATACGTTTAAAACGTTCGGGGAAGAGAATAGTTAGTGTGTGAAAGGACGAACGTCATGAGCTTGGGCCTTTCTTGCGGTAGCACGCATCACAGACGCGTCCCCACGTGATCTGTAACTCCTACGTACATGTGGGTGCATGCGTATTATTATTATGTAGATGGACTCAGCTATTTCTGACGAGGAATAGCCTTCATTGATCCCCCTGGATTTCTTCATATATATGTATATCTGTGCTGACATGCATTGCATACTTTTAAAACGTTCGGCGAAGAGAATAGTTAGTGTGTGAAAGGACGAACGTCATGGGCTTGGGGATCACCGGTAAACTAAGACTGCATGGACCCAACCCCCATGCAGTGCTCCGATCGAGGATGCCCCTCGAAACGAAACTTATTTAATGGGAGCAGCTGGAGCAGCTGGGCGTTTTGGCGCGCGCGGGCGGGGGGGGACAATGGCGGCGTATGTTGTAGACTGATCGTACGTAGTACGTACGTGATATACTGGTGTCATGGGTAGTGCAGTAGATTGAGTGAGGTAGTGGGCTCTAGCAGGGGCCTTCCTCTTTTGCGGATGGTTAAGGTGATCGATATGGAATCAATTATAGTTATTATTTTTAATCGGGGGTGGGGGGGCGACGTTGGGCGTGGGCGGTCTCATCTAGGCCCGTCGTCAGTCGTTGTGACTCAATGCCACTGTGTGACCCGGCGTAAGTAAGACTTACCTTCGCTTTTCCCTCAACGATAAAAAGCCGCTGTTGTTGTGCGTGTTTGTTTTGTGCCATTTTGGAGGACTGATGTTGTGGTTGCATGTTCCGGCACGAAGGAAGTGCCGTCGTCGTCGTCGTCATTGGTGCGATATTTTAATGGTCTGGGTCGTCGTTGTCGTGGTTTCAAAAAGAATGTTGTGTGTTTTCCCGTGTGGCGCGGGGTGTTGAATTTCAAACTAGGAAGGCTCTTATAGGTCAACAAACACGTATGTATGTATCACGTTCTGCGACAAGATGGGATGCCAGCGTATCTTGTTGCTTGAAAAACGATAAATCAATCGCGTCTGCCACCACCTCCAACCCACGATGCTGAGCTAGTATCCATCGTTCTAAATTAACGATGTGGTAAGTATATGTTTGTCGACTGCTGCCCAACCTCGACTGCAGTAGTGCAGCGTATTCCACGTCACGCACCAAAGTAGGACCACCTCGATGGGGGTATTGGATTTGTTCACGACTGTGCAATCAACCTTGTCTTAGTAGTATATTCAACTGTATAGGGAACTCATTCGTTTACGGCTATTGTTACAAGATAGAGCGTGATCATGGCGTCAATTCTGATCATCAAAGAATTGGCACGATAGGGCTTCGTACGTCAGCCACATGTATATGTATATATTGTTGTGTCGTTACACCACACCGCACAGACAGATCGAGTTCCATCAGGAGGCCCCTTCGTACGTTGCCCTTCGCAGACTGCCACGGCACGAGAGGAACGACAGAGATTAGATGGGAAACAGCAGTCCTGAGGCTCTCACAAAGAAAGGAGGAGGGCTGATCGAGGAGCACACGGTCAAACACTAAGTATGCTAGACTACATGTACAGTGGCGTGTTCCCCCAACACGAAAAATACCTTCCATCCAACATTTTTGTTGTGATATACAGTATGTACTTGGGTTACATATGCATGCATGTCTTCGTTTTGACATTTTTCGACAATAAATGCATGTGTTTGGTCACCAGTTAGGCCTGTGAACACGGAAAGAGTCCGCGCCAGCTGGAACCGTACGGACGTAAGAAGGCACCGAGCGGAGCAGACCGGAACGTTTTATAATGTAAGACATGAACAAAGCAATAAAGTTCTGAAGCCCCTTGGAGGGATCTGCGAGGGGTAAGGGGGATCCAAAGCAAGAAGAGCTCATACAGCCGTCGCGATATGGTGCGACAAGGTGCCACGCGTTGTCGATACATGTACTGTAGTACTCGCTTCCATCTCGGCGTTACGTTGTTGAATATTGTTGCCATCCCATTTTTCGACACGTACAACAGTATTAGTGTGAAGTGAAGGTATTTGACGCACCAACCGGGTCACTGGCCACAGGGGCTGGCTACTCACGTGATGTGTTTTTCCTCTCTCCACCTTTGCTTATGCGTTACTGAGTACTTACATTCATTTTGTCGGCTACGTTTGAATGGCGCAACCGTTCATTTCCCTCGTCGACCGCGAAGTTGTGCGTGAGGACACGAAATTACAGTGGTTGTCATCCACACACTAATTCCTACTTGTTTGGGGGGCAGAAGAACTTGAGCAAACGAACGACTCCGGGTTCGTGTGACGCTGTACGCAGAGACGCAACTCGCGTCCAAACGTCAGACAAGCTTGCGAGGTCAGGTCACCACCTGACACGCTGGGGCAACATCCAGGATGAGAACCAAACACTACGAAATGGGTATTCCTCTTAGGCCAGTCTTGGGTGATAACTCCGACCCAAGCGATATATGTGTAGCAGCGGTCGCCCGAACGCGAAAAAGCTTGACAAATGAAATACGGTAAATCGATCCGTTCTTGGAATTTTCAAGCATGTGTTCCGACCCGCCGGTTCTTACGGTGTCCTGCTGTACCATGCACAACTCTACACTGCACACAACGTAAACATACGAAATCGAACTTTCTTTCCCTAAGTGCGTACACTTGGCAAAATCGAATTCGATTGATGAACAACGCCATCAGAAAGGGGCAAAGCAGTAGTAGTAGAGGCCATGCACATTGATTCTCAAACCACACCTCAATTTCGATTTGAAGTAGCATGCATGCCTTACACGCGAACAGAACACCCTGCACTCACACAACAACAACTGCAACAAAAATCAAAATAATAACGTAATATCGATTGCGGCACTCGTCATCGGTCCGGCAGGGTCAGCCCACACGATCATATCTACTTGGTACAATTTTGGGGGCGACGGGAAACACACAAGTGCTCGGTATCTACAGTACACGGGGAGAGGGGGACGTCCTCATGCATCCCCTCCTCCACAAGGGGGCCAGAAACGCAGTCAGCAAAAAACATGTAACAATATCACACCCGCAGAACACAATTGAGCGGGGGCCGAGCCCGATACGACCTAGAGGGCTCAAAACAAGGCTCCCTCGCAACCCCAGCGGATTACAACCGGAACGAGTCAAAACCGCCTTCTACAGCAGCGCGAAACAGCGGCGCTACCATGCACACACGAAAAGGACACGGCCGTCTCTATAAATCGCCGACCTCGCCACAACCTCTGGGGCCACACTCACCTCGCTTACCGTGCGCCCCATCGGCGCCGCCGAAGGCAATCATCTCCCGGCAATCGCAATCTACCTCCTGTTCTGCTCTGCACCGATGCTGAAGGCATCCACCTTCACCACAGATGGTGCTGAAGACATCTACCCCAGAGTTGCGGCGACAAACGCTCCTGCGCCTCAACCTAACTCCGCACCCAAAACAGACGCCTCCCCTCCGCCTGCTTGATCCCGCCCCTCCCCGTTTTCCAGCTTTCTGGCGGGCCCCTCTCTCGCTACCACGTCGAAGCACATCGGGCGGAGGCGCTCAGGCAGGAGCCACCGCGCGAAAAACCTTACGCCCCTCGTCCTGAGCCGCACGGCAACGCCGCCAACGCCAGGGGCTGCCGCCTGACTCTGTCCTCCCGGGAACCCCGCCTTCGGCGCAACCGCCAACGGCAACGGCAACGGCGACGACAATGGGGGGCCCGAGGAATCATCCTCGGGAATGGGGGGGAGCGACAATCGTTGCTAGCTCGGGCGTCCCGAAACGGTGTCGCCGTCGCCGGCCCCGCCGCCACCGCCGCGTAAATTTCCGTGTTTTTGCCTCGAACCGCCGGGGGCTCCGGTGTCTGCGACCCCACCCCCCGCAGAACGAGTTGGAGAGTCACGGTGGACGTCTGGGAGCGTTACTCCTGTCTCGTTTCCCTGGGAAAGAGGACTGCCGTAGCCGTGCTCGGCCATGGACCGGGTCAGCATGCCGTTTCCTGGTCGATTAAGGAAGGAAGGAGGGTGCAACGCCAGAGAAACGCGGGTCCCGCTTAGCCAATCTGTGGAGCTGGGCACGCCGCGATTCCGTCTCGGGGCGTAAGAGAGGGGGGCTGTTGTCCTATATTTTCGATTGTTCCTTCAACCCAGGCTGCAAAGGACGTCGCTCAATGTCTCCCTCCTTCCCGCCGTGTTCTGTCTCTTGGCCCAAGCCTCTCTCTCTCTCCAACTATTTCTCCCCGCCCTCTCTTCAAAACATCTAACCTCCCAGCTTCTACCTCTCCCACGAACAACAGTAGTCCACTACTGTCTTGTAGAGCCTGTTGCCCACAGGGGATGTATGTCACGCGAAGATGGGTGGAGAAACACTGATAGGTCACACCACAACACCATCGCGAAAGCATCCTGGAAGTTTATGGTCGGGTAGAGAGAGGAACTACAGTAAGCTAGCGCCAAGCTTTAAGAAACGTCCATGTGGGGTCGAGGCTCGATTTACTTTTTGTCCGTCACCGTCCAGCATAGGTTAACAAGGCATCGATTTTAGTCTAGTATTCACGATTGAGGTGTATTTCTTAGTCCATTTTTCTCGATTATTGCCAGAACCTGAGCCTTAGTTTCTTACTAAAGGTTTGAGTCTTAATCGCAGTCGTAAACTGCGGTAGTGTTCCATGGAAGAAAAAAAGCCTTCGTCGATACCTGATGGTGAGCCGCCGCCGCTGCTGCCACGGTTGTTGGCCCCTGTCGCTGATGAAACCCCCGGTTCATCGCCCGGTAGACACACCTCCATCACCTGCGAGGCCGGTAACCGCAACCCCGCCGAACCTGGAGGCTGAAACGCCGGCTGGAAGGAGGGCTCGAACTCGTCCGTGTGAAGATGCGGCCAGTTGTGGGGCTAACAGTGTCGGGAAGGGAGGAGGGGGGGAGCAGTTTCTGAGATAAGCAGTGCTTTGGTGGTCGGAAACAAAACGCATCCCCGGAGAAGTCAGCGGGAGGATAGGTGCACTCGTCAACTTGTTTCCTCGAAACCTACCCTTTACAACAACAATTTTCACATCACAACCTTCCCGCGTATTTTATCATGCCCGGGTCTGGACTTGCTTGGGCTTGCGAACGTCGAGGGGTAAAGTACACTCTATTTAGCCTTGCACGCTCTATCTAGCCTTGCACTCTCTCTCTCTCTCCTTCCAACTATCTACGAGTTTTCTGGCGTGCTTAACGTGAACAATCGCCGAAGAATGTTGCGCTTTTTGCCGTCGCTTTAAAGACTCTTTTGGACGCATTACCCATAGCGACGTGTTTCACCTTGTCCTCTAGCAGGTATTCCCCTCAAAGGGTTCATTTTTCTAACTCAGATTGAGACACCGCGCGCGCACTGGGATATCAGCAAAGACAGACAGACAGACGCTCATCGACTGGTGATAGGATCGCACGTTCACTAAACATCGAAGCATCTCCGGAAACGGCAAGAGAGAAACCACATGACCACACAGTCATCTGCACACCTTCGAAAATAGAGATAGACATCTCACACACCAATCTACCCATCACAAACACACATCCGAAAATAGAAACAGAGCAACCCCCACACCAGTCCACACATCACCTAGAAACAGAGCAACCCCCACACCAGTCTACACATCACCTATAATAGAGTCAGAGCAACCGCCACCCCAGTCCTTACATCACCCACGTACACACCTTTGAAACGGATTGCCTCCTCACCACGGCCACCGACCGCTTCGGTGAACCAGGCTTGGGGTCCACCTCACCGCCTACACCCGACAACGCCGAAGAACCTTCGCCCATCACGGCAGGGCTAGTGCTCCTCCTATTCCGCCGCCCGCCGCCGCCGCCGACTGCGCTGGAGGTACTCGTGGCGTTGGTTTTCCCCGCCCCATCCGGCCCCTGCTGCTGTTGGCCTTGCACGCCTTCGACGTCCTCGTTGTCTTGTACCGACTCTTCCAACGTTGACATCTGTCCCCCAGTTTTGGACGCGTTTGCGTAGGGTGGAGACGTGAGTGAGCGCACGGGATCGTGTGTGGCCTTCGGGGATTGCCTGCATGCGATTTCTTCGGATTCTGCTCTTTCTTTTTCGTTTTTCAACGTGGACGACCACACACAACACGTTGCCAATCGCGGTGCAGAAACGTAAAACACGCGCATGTACTCCAGCCATTTTGTTCCCAAGGCGGAGTGGATAACTCTCCTCCAAACATGCTGCATCCACTCGCACGTGCGTCGTTTGTCGCACTGCAATGTTTGATACATTGGGTTCGGGGTGTTTTTTCTGGGGGGTATTATATTTTTTTCAGGTTTGGGGACGCAATATTTAGGAAAATTTATATATACGTGTGTTTTTAATTGTTTTTTTGGTGTTTGTTGCTTTTGGTTTTGGGCAGTACATAGTGTGTGTGTGCGTACGACTTTCGCCTAAAATCGAGAGGCGTTACAAATAAGAGTGAGCACTCGTGGGGGATCTACAGCAGGTCGTTCATGCGTTTCGACTAGCGTCATCTCTCGGGCACATTTTGCGCCAGGCAGCCATGCACGCGACCTTCTCCAAAAAAAACTCCCTCCGAAACAACACAAGAAAAATGCAACTTTCTTAGCAGGGGTCCCAGGAACGTTCCTGCGGTGCAGCTCCAAAGGCTCTCTCACCTTGGCGTAGAAGAGCACGTACGCCGAGGCCGCCTGAAGCCTTACCACCTACCTTACCTACCTTACCAGCTTCAACGGTTCACTCACCTTGGTGTAGAAGAGCACATAAGCCGATGCCGCCTGCACCTCGTTGGCCTCCAGCCCCTCCACCCGCTCGTCATTAAACAGGTTCCAGTCTCCGCTTACCCGGTTCTTAGCAGTGGCCCTAAGCACACGTGGACAACAACCACGGTACGGTACGGTACAGTGTAGAGGGGGTGAAGAAGGGCGTAGATTGGAGATTAACACAGCCATACTGTCGGGGTGACCCGCTCGTCGTTAAACAGGTTCCAGTCTCCGCTTACCCGATTCTTAGCGGTGGCCCTAAGCACACGTGGACAACAACCACGGTACGGTACGGTACGGTACAGTGGAGAGGGGGTGAAGAAGGGCGTAAACTGGAGATTAACACTGTCATACTTCCGGGGTGACCCGCGGGACTTGAAGGCGTTCCGTACCACAGATGTCAGTTGCGGTTCACGTCCCATCAAGATTAACGTTTGTTCATTGGTCCGACGCCAAGCAAGAATGATCGATGCTAATAAACTAACACACACGTAGCTATCCTACTTGTAAGCACGCTCTGTTTTCCGTAAAAGCTGCCAGAACAACGCACAACAATATCACTTCAAATTTTACATACATACCCCCCTTGGTGATGTGAGAGCTTGGTCCGGTGAGAACCCGGCGCACTCCGTCCCGGCTTCGCAGGGATGCGACGTCAATGGTCTAACGACTACGGCATGCACGACTATGAGTACACCCCCCCGCCCTTCTCATATTCTCACGTGTAGTGCCCCCCGTGGACAGAGCCGTGATGGTTTGCGGTCGCGATCAGGTCGTAGTCCGGTGATTCTTTCTGGCATGGCAGTTTGCACCCCATGTCCAGACGTGGAGCACATTGTCCAACCATGAGGCGGACAAAGCAGGCAGAAGCAGAACGACATGAAATTCAGATCGGGGGGGAGGAGGGGGTTCGAGGGATGTGTTGGAATAATAAGTTGTGCGTCTGGCTACCGAAAAAAACCGGCTGCAAAAACGTAAACAGATCCCAAAGCATGTGCGTGCAAGATAACATCAGATCGGACAAGCTACATCGTGACCGAAGCATGCACGGGATAGATCAGGCCGGTTAGAAAAGTCAACATTCGTTCACTGTGATCGACGCGTGCGAGTGGGATTTTGTGTAGGGCAGGCAGGCCCGCAGCGTGCTCGTCTAAGCAAAAGGATTAAGCCTGAAAATGAAAACCGGCTACAAGTAGGAAAAATGAAACGAACGACGGGACAAAAATACTGAATTGAGATCTCCCAGATCTTTCAATGCACCATGACGAGGGGAGACCTCCGAGAAAAGGCTGCAAGGCGCCGAACAAAATCAAAACAATTCTGCTACAAAAGTTGCTCTACTTTCGCCCCCGACTCTAAAGCAGCACCGATTGCTGGTGGGAGAGATGACAGCACGCACGTCATGCCTTGGTTTCTTGCAGAATTCCTTTTGGAAGGCTTCGCGAAACGGTATTCAA